TTCCAGAGACAGTTGTAAGCACTGTGTAACTGCCTCGAGGGTGCTTGACCATTTTAACACAACGTGGTGCGATCATCCCCCTTGCGCGGAGTGAGGCTTCTCGACCCCGCACAACATGATCTACTCGACCACCGTTCGTTGTGGTTACCGCCAAAAAAAAAGAGGTAAAAAAAAAAACGGTAACCTGGTTGCCGAGTATTGGCTTGTTTTACAACGTCGTTGCCAGGTGACGAAAACCCAATCCCGATGGCAAACACCTTGGGGGGGCTTGTTTTCTAACGTCGTTGCCACGCGACGAAAGCCCAACCCCGATGGCAAACATCGGGGGTTTCGGCGGCTGGAGACGCTGTGTACATCAGTGTTTGGGGACATTGATCCGGTAGTATGTTCTGATGCGTGATGGTCGTGTAGATAAATTAGAGTACTGTTGTTGTTCCGACTTGTTCCGACAAACGCAACATACCTACCTGGTGCCATTGTTTTATCGTCCAATGCTCTCGGTTAAACCAAATGCCGCACCACGCACGGTGTTACCTTGAATATCACGTCACGATCGGCAGGAGGTTCGATTGTGACGTCGTCAACTTTCGGCTCAAGGAATATCTGCGTAGTAGGACACGCGATACCATGTTCGTAGGAGTGTTGTCTGCAGCAGTATGTGCGGGGCAAAGTGCCAAGTGCAGTAGGCAGTGCCGTCATGCCCAGCAAGTATAGTCCTTGGGTATTCCCCCCCACCTCTCTTCTTTGGTTTTGGGTATACATAGTTTCCGTGCATAGCACACATGGGTGCAGCGCACCCGCGTGAGCTTCAGCAGTCATATGGTTCATCCACATACACCCAGCGTACGGTGGACTCGACACGAAGCTTGCACGGCATGCCTCGGCTTTACCAGGTGTGCGCCAGAACAGAACAATACTGTCGTCGTGTGGCATAAACTGGTTTGGCCGCGATCGCACCAACTGGAAACAAATTTCTAAACTGACCACTAGCAATGCTTATCACGAGTCAGAGGGAAAATACATGAGTTGCTTACCCCGTTTGCGCTGTTTCCGCTTTTTTTTTCCTTTCCAGGAACATCGAAATATCATGAAAGATTTCAATGAGGACTTCGAGATCAAGAGAGTGCCAAGACCCGGCGAGTAGGCCGGGACAAGAGCGCTTTTTTTTCTCTGGAAATGGAGGCTTGGGTTCCTACTATTGTCTGCATAACTTCTCAGGAGGAAAATTTACCTCTCCATGTCCGACTTCGGAAGGAGCAGAGACAGGCGCAAAAGCGGGTGGGTTGTCTGCCCTGCTCGTAGCATACGTCAAAGCATGACGGTACCATGCTTTCAACGTTTCCGCGGTACGTTGCCAATTGGCAGCGAAATGATGTCGAAAGGCCAGTTGGAGCGTTTTCCGACGAACCTAAGCGGGTGCTGCAAGAAGCCACACAGGCAGCAGCGGCTTGAGGGAGAGAGTGACCGGAAATATACACCCATGGGCCATACCTTGTAGTTTTCGTCTCCCCCGAAGACAAAGCTTGCTTGTGCGTCGACATCTGATGTGACATCGGCATCGAGCACAACTGTAGTGTAGTTCTAGCTCCACATCGATGTAAGATTTGTGTCGAGGGGTTCAGTACATGTTGAGAAATTGCGGTCTGATTGTTCCCGGCAGGCGAGGTCGGCCGCTGGGTGGCGAAATGCTGTTGCACGCGGCGTGCAGGTCCGACGGCTTTGCAACTTGGGTAGGCAGTTTTGTCGACTGGGTCGTCGTTTGTTTTCAATTTTGGGCTGTCGTTTTGCACCGGTCTAGTTCGATCGGAAATCACGTCGACAGAAGTAGACTAGAGGTCTAGGTCGCGCGTAGTTTCGCGAGCTCAGAGAAATCGAGCGCGGTCAAAATACCGCGGACAGAATATCACGGGCAGTATATCGCGGTCAAAAATATTCTTTGGTTTCCGGAGCAGAAAACAATCCTTTTCAGATTGGATCAAGTTTCGGTTTCCAAACAGCACCTTGCCTAGATGATCGAGAACATGGAAAAGAGGCGCACTCGGCGATGGTATCGAGAAGTCCAGCTCGCCACGTTCACAAGAGACGAGCCGAGTTGCGACAAGCGCTTTCAACGGTGGCTGTTTCAACCTATATCTCCAATGACATTGCAATTTCGAAAAGCAGAGGCGAGAAGAAGTGGCTCTCGAGCAATATTGCCAACATTGTCAACATTAAATTCTTGCTTGGTTTGCTGTCTCCACACTTGAAAAAAACGTGGGGAGCTTCATGAGTGTGGCGATCCATACGGCCCCACCCTAACGGTTTGTGCCTTACAATTCTCAACGTTTCTTCTCCCCCATCAACCGAGAGCATATCAACTCTTGTACTGCGTCCAGACTTAAGCTAGCCATTTGAGGAACCTCCAAATTTACCGCAGAGAACATCTCTTTCTTTTCTCCTCTTGCGTGGCCTAGCTAGCCTCGACACAATGGTGTCAGCACATTGCCGGCCATCACGCACGATTCTCGCGAAAGGGACCTAAGTCGGGGTGTGTGGACTCAGTTCAAGACTCATTCGCAACCAATCTCGGGGTGCATGCCCTTAACCATCGTCCCAGTCGGAGTCGTCATCGCTGTCCGAGTCTTCACTCTCTGCTTCCAAGTACTTCCGCCTGTCGCACACCGGGATCAACACGCACAACAAGACCGAGAGACACGTTTGTGGTGAACACTCGCAGTCAACAAACAGGGCGAAATCACTGCTGTCAGCCTCCGCCAAAAGACGACAACACACCAACGCTGCGCATCAGACGTCCCGCGGACAGACATTTGCCTTCCATTTACACAACGCTTACACAACCTAGGGTTTGCGGGGGAGGGGGGGGGATGTACTCATAGTCGTGCATGCCGTAGTCGTTAGACCATTGACCTCGCATCCCTACAAAGCCGGGACGGAGCACGCCGGGTTCTCACCGGACCAGGCTCTCACATCACCAAGCGC